AATAGGAAAATATATACACTAAGAATCATATATATATATATATATATATGTATACACACGAGATAGTATATATACATACACTATGGTACTGTAGATAGGTATAATATAAACCCTAAACCCTAAACCCTAAACCCTAGAAATCGTAAAGTCTATATAGCATATAGATACACTAGCTACTATATCCTTCTCTTCTCTCTGACTACGACAGTACTGGAGAGAGACAGACACACAGGCCTAAACCCTAAACCCTAAACCCTAAACCCTAAACCCTAAACCCTAGTGTTGGTGTTTACCTGTTCTTCAATAACTCTCTTGAATAATTCTTTTTGTTCTTCGGATAGACTAGCAGCAAAATTCTCCAATTGTGTCTGATTAGGGTTTGCTGCTGCTGCTGCTGCTGCTGCTGCTCCTGCTGGTAGAGGACCGCTGTTCTGTGCAGACACATCTATTCCTGCAGCAGCACACAACAGCAAAGGAGACAGCAGCAGCAGCAGCAAGGATGCAGCAACAGCAGCAGCAGCAGCAAGGAGACACATATGCATGCAAAGATGGCAAAAGGAGACATATATATAGTAGTAGACACAATAAGAGATAACAACAAAGGAGAAAAGAATAAAAAAAAAAGAGGAGACAGGAATAAATAATAAAAGGAGACAAGAATCAAGAAGAAAAGGAGACAAAAAAAATAAATAAAAGGAGACAAAAAAAAAGGAAAAAAGAATTACCTGCTGCCTTAGTCCTAACAGCAGCAGATTGGAGGGTTTGCTGCTGCTGCCCCATCGCCTTTAGTGCAGCAACAGAAGGAGTACCCATTGTCTTCAGGTATGCTGCAGCAGCAACAGCAGCAGCAGCAGCAGCAGCAGCAAGAGGGGATATACACACTATATAGACCAAGCAACAGCAGCAGCAACAGCAGCACAACTAGCAGCAGCAGCAGCAGCAGCAGCAAATAAATAAAGACCCTACAGGTATATTATGTGTTCTTACTGTAAGAAGAAGATTAATACATAGAAACAACCACAGCAGCAGCAGCAACAGCAGCAGCAGCAGCAGCAGCAGCAAATAACGTACAAGTAGCCTTAATAAGTTCTTGTGTCCTCTCTGTTAATACACGATTAGTAGATAATAATGCCTTTAATACTGCCCAATGACGAGAAGAAATATCTACATATTGCCAAGAAGATGTACATATACTACCAACAAATACAAAAGGGAATAAGGCCCTAAAAAACTAAAAAAAAAGAAAAAAAAAAGACAATAGCAAAAGAAATATATTTATATATAAAAAGGAAATGAAAGGATATTCGTCACGGGAAAAAATTAGGGTTTATAAGGGTTTAGGGAGAAATTTTAACGGTTTTGAGGGTTTAGGAGGGTTTAGGGTTTAGGAGGATTTAGGGTTTGAGAGAATATTTTTAGAGGGAAGAAGAATAGAGGGCAAAGGAAGGGAAATAAAATTAAGAATAATTAGTGTTTAGGGTTTAGGGTTTACAAGCATTCTTTCGACTGGTTAAATTAGTGTTTAGGGTTTTAGTGTTTAGGGTTTAGGGTTTAGGGTTTAGGGTTTACGAGTATTTTCTCATAAGGAAGAAGGCCCGAGACAAAAGGAAGAAAATTAAGAGAATCATCATCTTCTACAAATCTTTGTTGAATCTCAACACAAAATACAGCTACACTATATATAAAAAATATCTGCACACAAAACCCTAAACCCTAAACCCTAAACCCTAAACCCTAAACCCTAAACCCTAAATATATTTTTTTTAAAGGTAGATATAGATACACTTATATATTGGTATTTAAATATATAAATACATTATATTTAAATATTAATATTTATTATTATTAATAAAGAAGGCAAAAAAAAAGAATAAATAAAATAAATAAATAAAATAAATAACGTACCTGTCTAGCAAAAGTTGCATGTTTAGGGAAAGAAAGGATAAACCCTACACTAAAACAAAGAAGATGAGCAGCTAAAGATAAACAAACCGCTGTTATTGATATTCTCTCGTCTTGTTCGCCAACTAGAAAAAAACACACACACAAACCCTAAACCCTAAACCCTAAACCCTAAACCCTAATTATAAGATAAAGCGTTGACCATGAACCCGGAGAAGACAAGAAAAACCCTAAACAATAAACCCTAACTGCAAACCCTTTACACCAAGAAACCCCAAACCTTACTAAATCCTACTAAACCCTAAACCCTAAACCCTCTTAAACCCTAAACCCTAAACCCTAAACCCTAAACCCTAATAGCGAACCTTCTTTAAGATCCCCGAATCGATCATAGAAACTTTTTCTTATATCATGAGTTAAAACCTCTTGTGCTTTTTTTAATTCCTGAAAATATTCTTCTGGTGGTAAATCGCCAGCAAATGGTGGACGGACACCCGAAGAAGCGACTCTATCAGGATGATATTTCTTAGAAACGTTCCTATAACCCTTTGAAAAAAAAAAAAAAAAAAAAAAAAAAAAAAAAAAAAAAAAAAAAAA